CCAGCCAAGGCGCCCCTTCCTTGGAAGCCGAGCGGCTTCGCTCGAATTTCGCCGCCGCCGCCTCTCGCAATATTGCAATATAGGGGAAAAGCAGGTAAGGGGGCGGCTGGGGAGCCGCGGGCTGGGAGGGTGGCGCGGGGGAGGGGGCCGTTTGGGGCCGGGGCTGTTTTCTTTGGCTTCCTTCCCTTGACCGTCCCAAATTGCAAGTAAACAATACGTCGCCTTAGATAATGCGCGAGTCTGAAACTACCGAGGCCGGCCTGCGAGCTAGCGCGGAGGGCAGCCCCGGGCCGCCAGCTTTGTAGCGGTTCCTGCTTACAAAAGGGTTCTTGAGACCGGGCTGGTGGAGACCCTAGAGGGGGGTGGGGACGTTTCCAGTTGCAAAGGGAAAGGCAGGGACTGCTTGGATGAGGATTTAAGTGTAAGAAGTAGTGTGTGCCAGAGGGGGGACAGTCACGACCCTCCCCCCTCCAGTAAACACTATTTTTTGAAACAGTGGCAGAAAGGATCTAAGTGACCAGAATTCGGTATTGTTGGTTCTTTAAAAAAAATTCCTCTTGGCTTATAAGTCTTTTGTTCCAATCCAGGAGAAATCCGGTGAATCACCTAATTAAAATCAAGACATGAATTAAGCATCCATTTTTGTACTACAAATTGCCAGCGCTACGTTTGTCCCTCCCTTGGTCTCCATTAAAAAACACCAGAGACGTTGTTAAAGGGGGGCAGATTTTGCCTCTAGCTGCCACTTCTGCTTTCTATTTCACTGACTATCCCAGGACCTAAATTGCTTGGCTATGTAATTACTAGAGTATAAGCCTATTTAACTTAAAAGCTTTCTTTCTTTCTTTCTTTCTTTTTTTTTTTTTTTTCCAACTCTAAATGAAACTTGATGAGGGCCCGTCCTTAGTTATCAGGGGAGTCAGTTTCTGGTCAGTCCTCTTGATTCATCTCTTTTAGATTTAATCAGCATTAAGGTATTGCTTGTCCTTAAGAGCTTTAGCTAATGGGGTTACTGGATGCTTTTCTCAGTGTAATGTTTCCTTTTCAAAAAAATATACATATATATTTACCTCTCACCAAAGATGGGGGCGGGGAACAGCTTGGAATCTCCTCCCTCCCTCTCCCCTTTTAAAAAGGAATTCGGACGATTAAAACGTTGGGGGGAAACAGTTTAAAGACCTAGGGCAGGAAATGCAGATTCATTTGGGTTAGGACTGAAATTGTAACAAAAAGCAATTCCTCGAGTAAATGCATCAGATAAATCAATTTACATAAAGGTATGATGCATTCGGATAAATGCAATGCTAATGGGTTTTAGAGTGGTCCTGTTTCCAAAGTCTCAGGGTTTTGTTACAGCTTAATTGGTGCAGTTCTTATTCTGGTTTATTGTGCGGTCACTGGACACACGTTCCGGGACTCTTTCGGAGGAAATGTGTTTAAAATCAGCCTATTTAAGGAACTCGAGTCCTTGTTTGGTTCCCCCTCTCTCGTTCTTTTGCAGCAGCCAAGTTGGGCCGGGGACAGGCAAAGTTCGCCCTCTCCCTTCTGAGGTATCAGCTGAATGTCTTGAGCAGATAGCTGGGAGCCTTGGGGGGAGCCCACACTCTTGGCTTACAGAGGACAAAGACAAAACAGGCTGCTTAATTGGCAGTAAATAACTTGATCTTTTTATAGAATAAGTGACTGAAGGAACACTAGGACTTTATTGGACTCAGGATTGGAGGCAACAAATTAATCGGTTTAGGCTAAGCTTCATAAATTGATTCCTATATTATACCCCAGTTGCTTCTCTTATGGCATTCATTAGAGTGGGGAATGTTTAAAAGCAGTTTTTGGTGACAGCAGGACTTGGCTCTGAATATAACTTGTTCATCACTTAATAGTGCCTTCTAGAATATTACCTACCCCCCCTCCTTTGGAGTAACAAAGCTTTAGCATTTAAATTGCTGATCAAGGGCAGATTAGTGAGAGCAAAGTGGAGAGTGTTTGTGTAGGAAGTTAACAGGCATCCTAAAGTTCAATGATCTATTATTCTTGCCTGTGTCCTGAAAACCCAGAGAAAACACTCATTGATCTTGAAAATGAAATGAGATTTGGAATAATGGGAGATGGCGGTCACCACAATGGCATGTGAAAGGTGCTGTTTAAAAATACGAAAAACCAGTTTCGCAACTTTACACACCGCACCCCCTCCCGCCACCTTGCCTCCCCTCCCACCACCACGCTCTCCATCTCCCCTCTGCCGGTCCCTCCCTCCTCTTTCAGAAAACCCAACTATTTCCAACTTGTGAACTGCAGCTGCACTTCCTAGGGCAGAGCTCGGGAGGGAACGTGGCTCTGGCGGGGCCGCCGCCTCCCCACGCCCCTCGGCTGGCTCGCGGGGCTCGGCGGGGGCTGGGGAGGGGCCGGGCGCGGCGGTGGGTGGGTTTGACCCTCATTTGCTGGAGGCGGGCGGCGGCGACGGCGGCGGGGAGGAGGGGGCAGTGGGCGGAGGCGGGGGCTTGGGGGAGGCGCTGCGAGGGGTGGAGCGCGCCGCCGAGCTCGCTCTCGGAGTTTTGACAGTACCGGAGCTGAAATTGTCAGCGGCGGCGAGCGCAGGAAAGTTGAGAGGAGCTCGTGGCCCCAGAACAAAGCTTGAGAAAAGTAAACAGGCAGCTGCTGCCGGCGAGCCTCCCTCCTTTCCTCTCTCGCTCAGCCTCTTTCCCGCCCTTGCCTTGCCGCTTCCTTCCAGCAGCTCCGGGGGGGAGGAGGGGAATGGGCTTGCTCTCTCTCTGGCGATTACTAACTTTTGCGTCGCCCCTGTTTTGTCTTTCTCTCCCTGTCCCCTTCCCGCCCTCTGCAGACCATGGTGAATCCGGGCAGCAGCTCGCAGCCGCCCCCGGTGACGGCCGGCTCCCTCTCCTGGAAGCGGTGCGCAGGCTGCGGGGGCAAGATTGCAGACCGCTTTCTGCTCTATGCCATGGACAGCTATTGGCACAGCCGATGCCTCAAGTGCTCCTGCTGCCAGGCGCAGCTGGGAGACATCGGCACGTCTTGTTACACCAAGAGCGGCATGATCCTTTGCAGAAATGACTACATTAGGTAAGTCTGTTGGCTTTTCCTGAGGGTAAGCACAGCAGTGGCAAGGCCAAAGTTGAAGGGAAGGAGCCTGCACCTATCGAAAGACATGACAGCCTTCACCTCAAAAACCTTCTGATGAGCGAAATTTAAGGGATTTAAGAAGCATGTACTAGTCTTCCGTATTTGATAACAAATAAGGGACAAGTGCCATACAAAGTAAAAACTCCCGTCTAATGGAACTGGCTGTTGTATGTGCAAAGATTGAGCACCCTAAGTGTTCAGTCTTAACTGGACTTCAGGCTAAAAATAAGCATTTCAAGTGGGAGTTAAGTTGCTTTTTTAAAGCAAGGTAGGGATCTACAGAGCTCAGAGACAAAAGGTTAACTTAAAAATAAAAGTGTAGTTAGTGAGAAAGTGTGTGTAGTGATGGCTAATTATGATATTTGCATAAGCACCTTTAAACTTTTTTTTGAGTGTAATGCTCTGACTCATTCTTTGTGCTTCTTGTGAAAAATGCTGATTACCCATCAGTTTAAAGACTTGTAATTCTTTTTATAGCAAAAACCCCCAAAACAAAACCTAGTGGTAATGTTTTTCTTCATACTGTTACTTGGAGGCTTGCTTAAATGTTAGTGTGTGGATTGCGATGCAAAAATTGCTTTTTTTTTTTTTTTTTTTTACAGAACGTCAGGTCTATAGTTTTTTGTTGTTGTTGTCATTTGTAGCACTGCCCTTGATCCCCAAAGAGATTTAGAAAACGAGGCTATAGAATTATACTAATCTTGCGTTTTAAAGCAATGTATAGGAACATGTAAGCAGTCTTTTCCAACAAGTTTCAGTGCAATTAATGGAAAGAATTCAGGAGGTCAGGTGCCTATAGGATCTTTTCAGGTGAACTCAAGCTACTTAAACTCATTAATTTGAAAGGAGGCATTTGAAGGATTACACATTTAATTTGAGTAAATGGTTTGATAGACTGATGCACATGAATGCTTCTAGGAGGTGTTCTGTTTCAACATCCAGTAATTAAAAAAAAAAAAAAACCACACGCACACCGTTGGTACTATAGAGAACTGAACACTTTTAAGAATTTCATTCTATTTAAATTTCTGCCCTTAAACCTTTTTCTTTATAGGAATTAATAGAAAAATTTTGTTTTTTCTTCAATGCGGGTAAATCAGTGGATGAGATATTTTGTTCAAAGTTTAGCTCTATTGAGATTCACTTCACTGCAGCTTATACTGCGAAAGATCCCAATGCAGTTCAGAGCGGAGTATGGGTGTGTTTACTCCAGTGATAATCATTAATGTAAAATGATGTTTGGTTATTCTGATAATGCAACCAATATCCACTCTGGTGGCATCCTCAATCAGTCAAGTAAAAGAAATATAGGAAGGGAGAGGGCTTTTATTTTTAAATTAAGATGGCTGCATTAATTCTGCTAAGTGTTCTTTTAAAAGTAAATGTTAGAAAAATCAGCAGGAGCATGGGTGTAATGCTTTCTGGTCTTCCAAGCAATGCCTTGAGCTTTGACAGTATTAAAATTAGAGAGCAATACTGTGGTAAGGAAGGAGGGTGGTTTGAAGAGGAAAACCTGATGGTGCAGTTAAGATTTGGTGAGTGGTAGTTTCATTTCTTTCTCCAGGTTGCCTTAAAAAAAACTTTGTTTCTGATTACGACTAATTAAAAAGAAGATGGGTCCACTTGTATTCCCTTAGGACAAGTTTAGGCAAGTGGCTTCCTGGGAATTGAATCCATTCCTTTCCCTATTCTTGGGGCCAAATATAAATGCCCATTTGGTGTTTTCTTGTGACCTAATGGATCAGTGGAGGATGGGTACCCAGCCCTGAGCCTTAATTAATTGATGGATCCATAGTTTCACTCTTTCTTTTTGCTCTGAATCTGGGAACTGGAGTTAAGCTTGCTCTTGAACTAAATGTTACCCTGAGACTCTTATATTTATCTGGGAGAGATGAGTTCCAGTTCAGTACCAAATGGATCATCACCTAACACTTTGCTCACCAGCAGCCAATTTAGAGATCTCAGAACTAGTGTTCCCTCTCCCTCAGTACATCAAGAAGCAAAAAAGGGTGGGAAGGTGGGGGAGGTGCTGGAGTGCCTTTTCCTCTCAGCTATCCCCTGCCCAAACTCCCCCTGAGTCCACTTGTTGGAGGAGATTTCTATGCCACACGGACAGCTACTGAAGAGTGGAGTAATCTGTTTGCTGGCCACCAGGTGAAGAGGAGGACCCTTCGGCCTGGCTAGGACCACAAAGCGATTTATGAAGGGGCTTTTAAACTGTCTGACCTTAAGGTTGTGTGGTGTGTGTGTGTGTGTGTGTGTGTGTGTGTGTGTGTGTGTGTGTGTGTTTAAACAATCAAGATCAACCAATGTCTGGATAAAAAGCTGCAGCAAAGCTGGGAGAGGCCGGCGGGGGTGAGGTAGGAAGGATAGGGGGAACGTTTTTTTCCCCCCCAGTCCCCTCCCCCTCCGTGGCCAAGTGTCGATTGGGCCGAGCTGGGCTTCTGCCTCCTCTCTCCTAGATTTCAGATAAAGCGGCTGCCTTGCTGCAGCGAATCCGCACAATTAAAAGCTTTAATTAGTGGCTCCTCCATTTTCTTAGTTCTGATGGGCTTTATCTAATGAGATCTGGTCTCTGGCTTAGATCTGCTCCGAATGACGTGTCCGCAATGAATGAGAGCTGCGTCGCAAACAAAACATTTAATTAACAAAATTGGCCTCTAAGACAGGGAGGGAAAGGCTGGGGGGGGGCGGTGTGCTGGGGAAGGGGAGGGTGGATCTTAAAGGGACCAATGCCTGCCTCCCCCCAACCTCCCCAAAGTCCGCAAAAACCTTAGAACTACCCCCCCCCCATCCCCGGCTCCCGATCCCTCGGCTCCACCCGAGCGCCAAGTAGCTTTGGAAACTCCAGATCTCTTTACTCTAACCCTGTTTCCTCCGTCCCACCTTGGGCCCTACGATTGCCTCGGAAAGTGCAGTGAGAGGAGGAAGTTCGGGGACCAACGGGTGGGGCTGCAGGTCGGGGAGGGTGAGGAAACGCGCCGGAAGCCCGGTGGCGGTGGTCGGCGAGCCCTTCCTCGCGGGGCTGGCCGGGCCTGGGCCGGCACCGCCCGAGGCCACAGCCGAGGCGCCCAGCGGCCAGCGGCCTCGGCCCGCGAGGGGGCGAGCGCAGGGCGGGAGCCGGTGAGCGGGTCGCGCTTTCTTTCCCCGGCTCCGCTCGGGTGGTTCACGTGGCGCCCGTAGCCGCAGTGAGCTTGGCGCGGCCCGGGTGGGGGGGATTGGTGGTGGTTGGTGGCGGAGGGTGTGTTTGGGGAGGGGGTAGCGTCAGGAATGGAGGCGCCGCCAGGCAGCGAGTTCATTTCCCTGGTAATCAACAGCAAGCTGCTATATTCAGAGAATGCTGTCCCTTTAATTGAACAGGCTAGGTAATTAAATGGCACTTTTCCAATAGGACGTGCTAGGTAAATCTAATAGTTGGTTATTTAATATCACTTTGAAGTCTGCCCACTCAAGCACAATGACAGCACAGGAGCATGTGAACTATTAGCTAGGAAAAAAAAAAAACCCAGGATCTCAAAAATTAATTAAATCGCATGCAATTTAGGGGGAACGTTTATCTTGATTTGTCATAACAGAATTAATTCAAGGCCTCCAATTCACTTGGGGGCAGATCTGTTACTCTGAATTAACCAAGCGTAATTTGGCTGATTTTTTTTTTTCTCCTTCCCCTCTCTAATGCAGCAGTTGCGATTATGCACAGCCCCCCTCTTAAGTATCAATAGCTTCTGGTGCTTTTAAGGTGCTTGGTCTCTAGTTATTCCGAAGTACCTTTAATGGACTTGGCTCCAGGCATAATTTCTGGGTTGCATTTCTTTGTTACATTTAATATAGCTGGTGCAGAATTTAGATTAAATATAGGATCCTGCTGGAAAACCAATTGCTTCTGGATCAGTAGCTGTGGATGTGCATTTTTCTCCTCAGATAGGTTGCTGATATTTACTTGCAGGTACAAATGTATACCTTTCAGCCACACTCTTAGAAATGTACCTCTCCTTGCCTGAAAGCAGTTTTGAAAACACAGCCAGGTAGCACTCCATATTGTGTGTATTTTGCTTGAAGTAATAATGCAGTTGAAAATAAGCCCACCTATTGGTCATTGAAGTTACTGAAAGATGCTAAGCATTGATACTAAACTAAAAATATGACTTGCTCTCCATCTTTTAATGTCAGCAAGTAGAGTTAGAGCTGGGTGGGCAAACAGGACATGCCTTTCAAACAGGAGCAAAGCACCTTTAAAGTGCAAAGGTTTGTTGGGATTTCTTCCCATCTTTTCCTTTTCCCCATATAAGGAACCTCTTGATGTTTGTGATTGATTGCATTGCCCAAATGCTGAAATATTAACGACCTTCTTGGACTGAG